AGCGGATATAGCGGATATCGTCCTCTTTTGGAAGGCCAAACAAAGTAGTTTCGCTTTCACAACGAAGCACACGACATGGCGGCGGCAACAACAATTAAAAGAATAAAAGTTACGCCTTCTTTCTTCGCGTGAACATTTGGGCGGCGTTATGCAAATCTTCCCACATCGTGACGTAGACATGTGGGGGCGTGTTAGAACGAGGCGTTTTAGGTAGGCGTGGCTGACTCTTAACTTTTATAAAGAATATCTCTTTGGATTTTAGTCTTTGCAACTTTACAGATCTTCTTTATGCACCAAGAGCTTGTAACACTCCAAAGAGAAAGGAAAAATTGAAATCGCATCATATGACCCCTTTAAAATATACACTATACCGGTCAAAAGTTTGGGAAATATAAATCTTTTCTAACAATATAAATCTTTGCTATCACTTCTTATCAATTTAACACATCCTTACTGAATAAAAGTTTTAATTTCTTTCAAAAAAAGAACGAATAAAAATGGACTGACCCTAAACTTTCGAACTGTTGTGTATATTGTTAGAAAAGATTTCTATTTTAAATAAATGCTCTTCTTTTAAACTTTTTATTCATCAAAGAATCCTGAAAAAAAGTATTACAGGTTCCAAAAAAAATATTAAGCAGCATAACAGTTTCCAGCACTGACAATAATCAGCATATTAGAATGATTTCTGAAGGATCATGTGACACTGAAGACTGGAGTAATGGCTGATGGAAATTCAGCTTTGCATCACAGGAATAAATTACAGTTGAATGTATATCAAAATAGAAAAATGTTATTTTACATCATAATAATATTTCACAATATTACATTTTTCCTGTATTTTTGATAAAATAAAAGCAGCCTTGATGAGAAGAAGAAAGTCCTGTAAAAAACATTAAAAATCGTTCTGATCCCAAACTTTTGACCGGTAGTGTATATATTTTACTTTTTTTAATCTATATGGGCACAGCCCTAAAAAGTATTATAGAGATGAATATAGATAATGATTTGTATTCATTTGAAAAGCCCACACTGGCTACTCTTCATGGCCTTGTGCAATAATGCTTGTAAATAGATTACACAAGTCAATTCAGTATAGTTCACAAGTTCAAAATAATTCTACAATTCCCTCAAAGCTCAGTCGGTTAGTTTAAGCTCTGGAGACAATATTATCATGTTTTCTCGTGCCAATTGTTAGGATGCTGAAACTTCAAATTATTATAATGCATATAAAAAGCCAAGGAGGTGTTTAAATAACCTTAGCTGCAATGAAACATGCCTAATATCCATGTCCATTAGACCTTCACAGACCATTACTTTGAAACAAAGTTTATGAAGAGACTGTAAAAATGATGCAGAGTAAAGTTTCTCTGCCTCTCAGAGGAGGGTTTACGGTCATATTAAAATTCCTGCAATTATTTCTCACTGTTTATTTTTCGGTCAGCTGTAAGGCCACTAGGGTAATCACTGCCGTTAAGGGCAGCATTTATTACAAAATAATTATCATAACGCAGCAATCTGCTAACAGTCCTTTAGAGAAGGTGTGATATTTATCTTGCAGAAATGAAGGGGTTCACATAAAACAACAGACGCTGTAGTCTATTATTAACTGCACAGTCATCAGTATGCTAAGAGTTATTTTTAGTCATGTATATTGTTTTCCTTGGCTGTGAGGTCTTAAAGGAACAGTTCACCCAGAAATAAAAGTTATGGTCATTTACTTTCTTCAATGGATCACAAACGGAGAACTGAAGAATCTTCATGCAGCTCTTTTCCATTCAATCATAGTGACCACGTCTGTCAAGCTCCAAAAATGACAAGAACACCATAAAAACAGTCCAAACAACGTCTTATGAAGTCATTCAACAGATTTATGCGCGGAACAGAACAAAGTCTTTCTTCACTGAAAATATTTGCTGTCACATTTTAATTCAAATATGGAACCTTTAAATGTATCACATCAAAGCAAAATATCTCTTGGTGCCATATTTGATTTGAAAGCAATGGTTAATCAGTGAATAATGACTTGGATTGTGGAGAAAAATAACAGTAAAAGATGGTTATATAAATATGGCACAAAAAAGTTCAGCCAAGTAAAATAAGAACAAAATGGCTATTTGTAACATTTGTGGATTGCAAATATGCCTACTTATAATCAAAGACAGTCCATCATGTTAATTAGGGCTTTTGGACCCGAAAATAAAATGAAATGAAATAGTACAAACAACTTGTGCACCATTTTCTGAAATCACTCAACAGATTCACAAGAGGAACAGAACAAATAATAAAATAAAAAAGTAAAATAAAATTAAAAATTATGAAATTAAAACATAATAAAATTAAATTAAATTAAAAATAATACAATTAAAACATAATAAAATAAAAATAATTAAATTAAAACATAATAATAAAAAACAATATAAAATAAAATAAAAATAGTCCAAACTTGTTCACTATATCCCAAGTTTTCTGAAATCATTCAACAGATTTATATGAGGAACAGAACAAAGTCTTTATTCATGGAAAATCTTTGCTGTCGCTTTTTAAATCAAACATGGAAACTTCATTGGTTTTCACGTTTCTTGCCGCCATATTTGATTTTAGAGCAATGGTTAATCAATGAATAATGACTTGAATTATGAAGAAAAATAACAGTTTGGAACAAAACTCTTTATATAAATATGACACAAAAAGTTCAGGCACTTTCAACCAAGTAAACTAAGAACAAAACCATAACTTTTGAGGAACCAAGACAATTTCAGGGCTTTTGGACCTGGCGATTAGGTTAAGGTAACGGAATAAACCTCTAACACACAATCACAAACATTTCTTCAGTCCTGAGATGTCCAGCATTTAGCTCCAAAGCATCCTCGACAGCTTTGTGAACATTTTCTCATTTGCTTCTGAGATGCTTTCCGAACAGTCTTCCGGAGGCGATCCGAGATAAGAAGCTAATAATCCCAGACAGAGCTCATTTTCTTGCATCAGAGCTTTCTTTCAGTGGGTTTTCAGTACGTGCAGGTGCTTTTGTTCCGATTTTAACACTAAATCTCACTGGAACCGCTAATGACATTTCATCACGGCTTCATTCATCCCGTAACGACCTTCCGAAACACCACAAAGCGGCAGATTTTCTCCGGGAGAATTTTAAATGAAGGGAACAAACAACTAATACTTCAAGTAAAGCATGAAGACAAAATTGAAAGCAACAAAGCTGGAAAATTAGGAAAAGCAAAAGGAAAATGTCTGGGGTATATTATAGAGCGGAGAAAACAAACAAAACAAAAAAACATAATGAAAGCTGTCTAAACTATATTCCACTGTTTAGTTGGAAGTTAGTTAGGAAGAATAAATAGCCCCTTTTAGGATTATGGGCTCCTGGTGTTGGTTCTAATGGAATCTTCTTGACCTTTGACCTCATCTGCAGCAAGTGTGACTATATCAGACATATATCAGACTATATCAGACATCCAGCGCTGAAGATGATCCAGTCACTGAGACAGACTCTTGAGCACAAGCCAGCGTGTGTCATTCGGCCCACTTCAGTCGATGTCATTCTCTGAGGGCCTTTTTTCATCTGGATTGGCCAGAATCTCTTTCCCAGAATGCCTGAGGCTCATTGTGCCGGGGCGTCTGTGAACGTGTCAATACCATGATGGTCCAGCAGTGCTTGCAGAAGGGCATTCTCGCTCTCGAGCTCCTCTAACTGAAAGCAACAACACGGAAAATGATTATTAATTCTGAAAATGTAGAGGCAAATGTTTTAGATGTGCACATTTATGCATTTGCCAGATGCTTTTATCCAACACGACTTACATTGCATTGAAGCTATACATTTTTACAAATATAAAATAAAATAAAATAAAATAAAATAAAATAAAATAAAATAAACATTGTGCCATTTCTAATGCATACTCTACTGCTTGATCTACAGGAAGGAATAAAATAAAGTTAAATTAAATAATATAAATAAAATAATAAAATAAAATAGTATAAAACAAGATCAAATAAATTAGTGTGAAACAAAATAAAAGTAGCATAAAATAAAATAATAATTAAAAAATAAAAATAAATGAGTATACAATAGTATAAAAACTAAAATAAAAACAAAAAATAAAATAAAAACAATAAAATTAAATTAAATAGTATAAAATAAAAAAATATTATAAAAAATTAATTCAAATATTATTAATAAAATATTATAAATTACATTAAATGAAATTAAATCACTGGAGATATTACATCCTTGTGGGGGATTTTTTTGCACTCTTTGTCACCGTCTTTTGGTGCTGTGGGTCAGGCTAATATGTGAAGATCGTGGGTTTCTAGTAAAGGAGAGATTTGAGTCTGTGAATGAAATTGTGTGTGAAATAGTACTGAATGAATGAGTATGATTATTGAATGAGTGTGTCTATTTGGAGAGTGGGTTTTGTTCATATGATCTCAAATGCAATTATGTATTGAGCAAAAATAAAATAACTTTAACCTAAGATCAAGTTGAAAAGTTAGTAAAACGTTTAATTGTCCCATTCCATTGAAATGCATTAAATAAAATGTAATGCACATCAATAATGCTTATTTTAATGGCTCGTTGATGTCAAAACATGTATATGCATGTTTATTTAGGCCAGACATATATGTAACCAGGGGTTCCTGTTCCATCATGCGTTCCTTGGTCTGAAAATGGTTTGAAGACCCTTCATAAAATGTTGAAATATTATCTAAAATCTCTATATAGAAAGTAAAATGTTCAGATTAGATTTCAAGGAGAACAGATAGTATTTCGCTTGCTTTTTTGAAAAACATTTTTTTATTAAGTAGGCGTAATCTAACATTATGATGTCAACCATGAGCTCATTAACATATGCCCGCCCACATTTCAGCCCACTGATGAACAACAATATAACTTCACATGTGAAGAGGTTAACCCATCACAGAAGCTCATTTGCATGTAGTCTTAACGGCACAGTAGCATAAACAGCCTGTTGAATTCTAAGGATCATCAAATGGAAAAAACTAATTGTGGCTGTATTTGGTGAAAAAAAAATTAAGCGGACTTGAGGAATATAGTCCCTAGGAAAGAGATTTTTAAAGGGGTCATATGATGCGATTTCAAGTTTTCCTTTCTCTTTGGAGTGTTACAAGCTGTTCGTGAATAGATAAGATCCCGTTACACCAAATACACAAAATAATGATCTTTAAAAAAGCATCATATGACCCCTTTAAGAAAATGTTGATTCAGTGTAAAATAATGAATGTCAATGCAAAGAATAGGGGATTACATGACAAGGTTAGTGACAAATTGCAACTAAGCTTGCTAAATGTGATGTTAAAGGGGTCATATGATGTTGCTAAAAAGAACATGGTACTTTTACTTGAGTATATTTTTTCAGTACTCTTTCCACCACTGCTCTTAACTTTTATAAAGAATATCTCTTTGGATTTGAGACTTTAGTCTTTGCAACTTTACAGATCTTCTTTATGCACCAAGAGCTTGTAACACTTCAAAGAGAAAGGAAAAATTGAAATCGCATCATATGACCCCTTTAAGAGCTTCATACCTGCTGTCTGAGCAGCTCATTGTCCATCTGCACTCTCTCCACTCCGCTCAAACTCTCCTGCAGCCACTGGTTATGTTGCTTCAGCTCGCCAATGTAATCACACGCCTTTGACAAGATCCCACCTTTACTCTGGAGGAACAAGAAATGCAATGCATTTAAGAGAGAGATGCAGTTTCAAAGCATCTATTGTAAAAGAACAGGTCAATTCTAAGGTCAGATCTTCATTTAGGTGACAAAAGCATCATGCAGCTCACCCCACCAATCTTGGTGCCGTCTATGCTGCAGTCTGGGATGATTTTTGAGAGCGCCACAATCCAGTTGTTGATTTTGTCTCGCCGTCGCCTTTCAACTGCACATCAACAACAAGAACGATCAGAGGCTAAATCTAGGCCATATTGTCTAAATTGCAATACATGTTCAGTCCATCAACGCTCTACTGGCCTCTACAGGAGGATTTACATCAATGCCTGCTGAGATTCGTTCTTCAGTATCAATATCTTTGGAGTGGACACGGAATGAGTTATCCAGGTCCTGATACTTTGCTTTCATTTACAAAGACTAGATTATGATAATTCACTGACCTTCATTATGTTGTGCTCTTCTCCTCTCGTCTCTAGGAGTGCGCAGCGGACTGTCCATTTTCCTACAGTAATAATGGGAAAAAAATGAAATAATATGCAATATTTCATATATTTCTTCACTTCAATATCTCAGTGATCTGCAACCTTCAAAACTTAAAAATAAACTACTAAAAAAAACATAAAATCACAAATAAAGAACAAATACTAAACAAAATAAAATGGAATAAAATATAAAAATCATTATTTGATATGTCTTAGCTTCAATATCTCAATGTAGGTATTTTACAAGGCTTGCAATCTTATCTTTACAAAACATAATATATTCAAATCCCCCAAAAAAACAACAACAAAAACTAAACCAAAAAAAGAAACAACAAACAAACAAATGAACAAAGATAAAATAAAACAATAAATAAATAAACATATTACAAAAAATACATAAAAACAAATACTAAATAAAATCAAATTTAGCTGCCTTTTAGTAAAGTTAATTTTATTAAAGATTACAAATCTATCTCTATCTCTAAAGCTACAATGTACCAGTGGCACGAAATGGAATTGCAACCTATTTTGTCTGAGTGGCCTGAATGGACAGAGGACATAATAATATTGTCTCAAGCAATGGCATGAGTTTGGGATTGGATTATCTTCTAAACAATGGAAAACAAGCATGTTTGAGTGTCTGAAACGTGATCGGAAATGGTCATTATTATATTAGTAGATATTTGTATATGATTTTATACAAATTTGATTTTATTCATTCATATACTGTATGTCAGACTATTATTTTAATAATCTGATTAATGCCATGTATTTATTATGTTGCAATTCCTAATGAAGTTACTGGCCGAATATTTACTCAACAAAGTCGATTATTACTCACATTAGGCATTTGTTAAGTGTTCATTTTGTGGCACAGAAATAACACTCTTTACATTTAATAGACAGTTTTGCATTTCTTCAAATTTATTTTGGTTTAAGGGGATGTAAAAGATCTTCTCACCAGTTAAAAAAATTTATTAAAAAACATTAAATAAAAATTTAAATTAAATTAAATTAAAAAACATTTCACATTTCTGTAACTTGAGACTTGTCTGCAATTTAGTACGTTTTCAAATAAAAAAACAACAACAAAAACTAAACCTCTAAAGAAAGAAAGAAAGAATGAATGAACGAAAGAAAACTAAACAAAGATCAAATAAAATAATAAATAAATAAAATAACAACATTTTTTAAATACATGAATAAATACACAAAAACCACAAATAAATAACAAACACAAAATAAAATAAAATAAGCCACTTTCATTTAAGACTTGGCTGCGATTTAGTAAATTATAGATAGTTTTTAGATAGATAGATATCTAGATAGATAGATTACAAATCTATCTCTAAAGCTATTATTTAAAATGTACTGCTTTGAGAAATAATAATAATAATAAAGTAAATTTTATTGAAAATTACAAAGCTCTATCTCTAAAGCTATGGTTTAAAATGTAATATTTATATTTAATCTAATATTATATTTTATTTTATTTCAGTGGCTACTAACAGAAATAAAATAAGTTGAAGTATTAAAATTACTAAAACTAAAACTGAAATAAAATTAATTAAAGCTATATAGAAATAAGTACTGAAAATATAAAAATGTAAGTGAATTTAAAATATTAATAAACACTTCAATAGCACATAAACACTAAAACAACACTGGTTCTATGCATCTGAGTGATCGTTATTTTATTCTGAACACAAGCCACACTCTCTAACTACAGTGGATCTAATGACCACAAATGAAGGATTTGGAATTCTAATGGAAGAAAGTAAGATTAGGACTCTTGTGCAATTCCTTATGCTGCAGATTTCGCATGAGCTGCAAAAGCTGTATGTGTCCTAAAGAAGGCAATAATCAAACAAGAACGACTGAAACAAACACCTCTGACCCGTGATTCTTCAGCTAGATATCTCTACTGAGCCTATTTTGCAGGATAAGGATGTTGCAACAGCACAAACGTGCGAGCATCACCCATTTTCACCACACTTCTGCGGTGTAAAAACAGCACCTTCAAAAGGAAGCACAACAAACCACGCTCTCCTATGAATTATGACTGAATTTGAGCACATGATCCTGTCAGAATCCAGAATCATGACAAACAGCCCTGTTTTCACATAGATTTGCCGATGTGCTAGTGGGATCCCAAGGTTAAATTGAGAGCAAGGCACACAAAAAAACATGCAACAGTGCAACATAAAAGCTTGCAGACAATCACTCCCTGAGTAAATCCCATCACAAGTTCAGAAGACAAACCCCCGACGCTGAATTATTTGACCTATAAATGTATAAATGTAATGAATTTTAAATGAATGTAGTGGGTTTAAAAACAAGTTACGCTTTATTGGACAACACCTGTGGCGTGCTCTAAATGCAGTTTTTGTACTCACACAGTGTACATATGTGTGCGTGGAGCTATAGTCTGCTGAGAGGCAGAATGCAGAACATCTGAAGGAGTCATCATCACGTAGAACTGACCTAAATGAGAGAGACGACAGATGTTGTATTGCTCCATACTAAATTCAAATCATATTTACCGCTGCTGCTGAAAATTCAGCATTGCATCACAGGAATAAATTACATGTTAAAAATATATATTCAACTAGAAAAGAGTTATTTTAAATTGTATTAATATTTCACAATTTTACTGTTTTTACTTCTGATCAAATAAATGCAGTATTAAACACAAGAGACTTCTTTAAAAACCTATTTATTATACAAATTTATTTAAAAAAATACTAATTATTCTAAAATAATTCCAAAATTTTTATGTAAATTAATAATGTAATGTGAATTATATATATATATATATATATATATATATATATGTGT